GGGGGGGGGCACCCTACACAGGCACCCTCAACAAAATAATTGATTGTGATGTTACCGTAATAGTTGGTTTCTCATTTTAATCATATTTTTCGTCTCTTTGTTTAACTTGGTGTTCTTGTCTGTCTGAAGGTGATCTGCCACAGTCCTGGATTGAGGACATCATTAAGATGTGTCTGTACCTGTACCTAGGTCTGCTGCCTAGCAACCATAAGTTGATCCAGGAGTAAGTATTTCACTGTTGGTAATTTAACCAATTCATTTTCCTCATTTGAATTTCGGATTGTTATCAGAAAGGAATAGTTTCATTTCTATACAATATCATTTTAATACTTACTAAAATTTAATTAGTAATAAAAACTAACTTCACTATCTTTAAAGCTGCCTTTATCCCATTATGCCATCATATGTTGGCAAACTTTCCCCAATAGCTAACATATAAACGGTCCGAATAGGTCGGTTTAGAATTCTTCACTTTTGCTCAACTTTTTTCGTCTCCGATTCCCTGTTGCATGGTGAGAACTGAAAAATGTCTCGGAGACATGAATGCCCTGCTCCTATGTATTGACATTGTTCAACAGAATTCTGTATATAATAATGCTGATCTTGGCCTTGACCTTTTAACCCTGAAGCACCAACTCGTTCAAAGTATTTTCATGCTTAAGTTTGATCAAAATCCATCAAAGAAGTTAAGACGCTTGAGTGATGTTATTGTAACATCAAAGAAGTTAAGATGCTTGAGTGATGTGATCGTTACATCAAAGAACTTAAGATGCTTGAGGGATGCGATTGTTACATCAAAGAACTTAAGATGCTTGAGTGATATGATTGTTACATCAAAGAACTTAAGATGCTTGAGTTATGTGATTGTTACATCAAAGAAGTTTTGATACTTGAGTGATGTAATTGTTACATCAAAGAAGTTAAGATGCTTTAGTGATGTAATTGTTACATCGAAGAAGTGAAGATACTTGAGTGATGTAATTGTTACATCAAAGAAGTTAAGATACTTGATCGTGATGTAATTGTTTCATCAAAGAACTTAAGATGCTTGAGTGATGTGATTGTTACATCAAAGAACTTAAGATGCTTGAGTGATGTGATTGTTACATCAAAGAAGTTAAGATACTTGAGTGATGTAATTGTTACATCAAAGAAGTTAAGATACTTGAGTGATGTAATTTTAACATCAACAAAGTTAAGATACTTGAGTGATGTAATTGTTACATCAATGAAGTTAAGATACTTGAGTGATGTAATTGAATGATGAATCGGGACAGAACAAAACGCTAAGTGACAGGACACAACAGTACATTAGTAAAACTAAATACTCCTCTCTAAACTGAACTGAGGAATGAACCAAAGATCAATAGTACCCACCATATCTAACAAAGAAAACTTGCTGATGGTTTCAGGTTAGCTGTTGTGTATACATCTGCCACAGCTGACATTAAGAGGACAATTCTTCGTGTGCTAGAAAACCCGGTAAGAACAACTTATCATTGTACATTTTAAATATCTTCACAGAGTTTTAAAAATGTAGTCATACATAGAGAAGTATCTAAATAGAATTATCATGATTTGGTCTCGGACACAAAATTATTTTGAATCGGTTTGCATCTTTCTCAAAATCATAGTTATTTAGGTAATATTCCTCATACAGACTGACAATATTTTGTTTAAATTATTTATGAAAACTATTTCAGAAGTATTCAGAATAAGATTTCATTGTATTTCATAAGTAATAAAAACCTCATTGCTGTGGACGTATAGCTTTTGATTAAATAAGTTTTTTTAATAACACAAAATCATTTAAAGTGTGAGTTACCTAACGCTTTTAATGACCTAATTATCCCCCCTCCCACACCACACACCAGGGAAGGATGTTTAGTTGTGTCGCTGTGTTTAACCTCTGTGCTTGCTGGTTGTAGGTGAAGGGTATGGGGATGCAGTCCCCAGAACTCCTATTGCTGGTTGAGAACTGTCCGAAGGGGGCGGAGACCCTGGTGACCAGGGTCATTCACATCCTCACAGACAAAGGTAGGAGGTTAACCATCATTATCCTGGCAGAGGTCACGATTCTTGTCCAAAATATTTCAGATTGTGAGACTAATTCATTTCATTGCCAAACGTTTTTGTACTTTTACCAAGTTAAGTCATTACTCGGTCACAATCTGTTTTGAGTATGTCTGGCTTCACATTTAGGCAGAGAGGTCCAGAAAGAATAACCTAGCAATTGATGATATCTTAAACGGTTACAGAGAAGATATAGAAGGAGAAATGATTTCTTGTGAGAAGAATCTATACAGATGTGAAGTCAGTTGTTCAAAATATTTGGTTTCATTATCACTGCAGTGATGTTAAGCAAGGTAACCTTTTTATACATTAGTATGATAATTCAAATCCAACAGAGTACCTGTCACTGACTGAATGTTGCTTAGAAAATAACTGTGTTACTTCACTGTCAATTCCGTTTGCTATAGACCTACATTTGTGTTGATTCTTTGACAGCTGCCCCGTCACAGGAGCTTGTAGAAAGGGTACGAGACCTGTACCACAAACGTGTGCCTGATGTCCGCTTCCTCATTCCAGTACTGACAGGGCTGCACAAGGTAAAAATAACGTCAGATGGCAACTGAAAAAATTAGCCAGTACTGAGACAATTTTACAACCTAAACTAACATCAGGGTTGGACAACCTGGAAGTTTTTAGCAACACCCTTTTTTTGTCAGGAACAGTCATGTTACCTGTTTGAGTGGATGCTCAGTGTCTTAATTAGATGCCTGTTGTTTACCCGAGGGGTATTGTATAAGTTACATGTTGTGAGGGTTCTGTTTTGGCTGTATTCATGGTCTCAAAACAACCCAGAAATTCTGAACTCATGGAAATGTGAAAAAAAAGCATTTAGTAAGTGGTGAAGTGTGAAATATATAAATGAATCTGGTCGAAGTCTTTTCCTGTTAAATTAAAATGTTAATTTGATGACTGTCACTTTATTTGACTATATTTTCGTGCATATTACAGAGAGAAGTAATACTGGCCCTGCCCAAGCTCATTAAACTGAACCCAGTGGTGGTGAAGGAAGTGTTCAACAGACTTCTGGGAGGCCATGGTAAGTGTCTTAATGGGGGTCAAAGAAGTGTTCAACGGACTTCTGGGAGGCCATGGTAAGGGTCTTAATGGGGGTCAAAGAAGTGTTCAACATACTTCTGAGAGGCCATGGTAAGTGTCTTGATGGGGGTCAAAGAAGTGTTCAACAGCCTTCTGAGAGGCCATGGTAAGTGTCTTAATGGGGGTCAAAGAAGTGTTCAACGGACTTCTGGGAGGCCATGGTAAGTGTCTTAATGGGGGTACAAGTGTTCAACAGTCTTCTGGGAGGCCAATGTAAGTGTCTTAATGGAGGTTAATGAAGTGTTCAATAGACTTCTGGGAGGCCACGGTAAGTGTCTTAATGGGGGTACAAGTGTTCAACAGTCTTCTGGGAAGCCATGGTAAGTATCTTAATGAAGGTTAATGAAGTGTTCAACAGAATTCTGGGAGGCCATGGTAAGTAGCTTGGTGGTGGTTAAAGAACATATTTTTAGGAGGCCACTTCTGGGAGATTTTGGTTAGTAATCCAAATTTATTTATATAAAGTTACTAAGTCTCAAATTACTGCTGCCAGAATCACAAATCTTTGTTTCCTGGCTAATACTATGAAATTTGTACTCGAGTGTTCCCTTTTATCAAACAATGACATGTTTATCTATGTTGACTATGGAGGACACTAGGTAGGGGACATAGAATGTTTTACAATACTTACCTGATAATTACCACGTTCATGTTGGCTATGGAGGACACTAGGTAGGGGACATAGAATGTTTTACAATACTTACCTGATAATTACCACGTTCATGTTGGCTATATTTCAGGTGAAACCAGCTTCTCGTCGCCCCTCACACCGGCCGAGCTGTTGATCTCCCTCCACAATATTGACCCCAATAAGTGTGACATGAAGACCATCATCAAAGGTAAGAGGTCATATCAAGGTCTTGTGTTTTGGATTCAACTTTCAGCATATTTTATTGAGTGATTTTATGAATATGAATTCTAGCATGTTCTTTTGATACATTTCTGAATTGTTTTTGAGTTTTTGATGTAGATCATTATAGATTTTTAAATATTAATTGCCCTTGTTTGAGGGAGACATGACTTTTTGTTTACCAGATGTTATATTTCTGTTGTCAGCCACTAACCTGTGTTTCTCTGAGAAGAACGTATACACACAGGAGGCTCTGGCAGTGGTGATGAAGTCCCTGATGGAACAGGCGCCCCTCCCCACACTCTTCATGAGGACAGTGCTGCAGTCCCTGTCCATGTATCCCCGTCTCCTTGGCTTTGTACTCAACATTCTACAGAGACTGATTACCAAACAGGTATAGATACAGGTTTATCATCGATGAACTCGTTTTCAGGGCAATGTCGTCTTCCGTTTTATATATTTTTCACATTTTTTAGGAAATCTTTAATCTTAAAAGGGACATTGAAACACCCATCAATACAACAAAATAAAATTGTTTGTGTCTTGAATACTTCTAAATATAGATTATTCACTGTCCTTGACCTTCAATATGTTTTTGTGATCACTATGGGCATGTGAACACTGGATGACTATACAATGGTAAAATTTGCTGCTTTGCATATTACACACTGTTGCACTGTAGTCAAAGGTTTTGGCACTGTTAAACAAATAATAATAGCCACTTTCAAAAATATATTCTTGTTTTCATTGATGACCTTGAGTAGATTTTTTATTTTCAAAAAGTTCATGTAGTTTGTATGTAAGGATACCACAAACAAATGTCTGTTAATGTTAAAAGTTCTATGAACTTAATCTCAAATTGTGACCTTAAAGTCTAACCTTTATTTGACCTTGACCTTATAAAGGTGTGGAAACAGAAACGTGTGTGGGAAGGCTTCATCAAGTGTTGTCAGAGGACAAAGCCCCAGTCGTTCCAGGTCCTGCTACAGCTGCCGTCCCTCCAGTTAAAGAGTGTGTTCGAGAGCTGTCCTGAGCTACGGGAACCTCTGCTCAACCATGTCAAGTCCTTCACAGAACACCAGGTATAGCATTAGGCTACTGGAGATCTAATATTCAGAATGACATTCATTAGTTTGGTATGCTTAGTTTGTTTTGACCACAAACAGTAATTGAAAACTTCATAAGCAAGCTTTTATAAAAGCCATTTTCCTTTGTCAAGCAAAGAATGCAAATGACCGGTTTCTTGACTCTAAACCGCTGAAAATAACTCCATGAATTAAACCACTATGTGACGAAACAGTTAATTCAGCTGTCAGAAAATATAGAGCCATTTTGCCATGTAGCACTCAAATACTGCAGGCAAACAGAGGGATAGGTGATGTGTTTACAGAGGGACAGGTAATGTGTTTACAGAGGGATAGGTAATCTGTTTACAGAGGGATGGGTAATGTGTTTACAGAGGGATAGGTAATGTGTTTAGGGATAGGTAATGTGTTTACAGAGGGACAGGTAATGTGTTTACAGAGGGATAGGCAATGTGTTTACAGAGGGATAGGTAATGTGTTTACAGAGGGATAGGTAATGCGTTTACAGAGGGACAGGTAATGTGTTTTAAGAGGGACAGGTAATGTGTTTAGGGATAGGTAATGTGTTTACAGAGGGATAGGTAATGTGTTTACAGAGGGATAGGTAATGTGTTTACAGAGGGATAGGTAATGTGTTTACAGAGGGATAGGTAATGTGTTTACAGAGGGATAGGTAATGTGTTTACAGAGGGATAGGTAATGTGTTTACAGAGGGATAGGTAATGTGTTTACAGAGGGATAGGTAATGTGTTTACAGAGGGATAGGTAATGTGTTTACAGAGGGATAGGTAATGTGTTTACAGAGGGATAGGTAATGTGTTTACAGAGGGATAGGTAATGTGTTTACAGAGGGATAGGTAATGTGTTTACAGAGGGATAGGTAATGTGTTTACAGAGGGATAGGTAATGTGTTTACAGAGGGATAGGTAATGTGTTTACAGAGGGATAGGTAATGTGTTTACAGAGGGATAGGTAATGTGTTTACAGAGGGATAGGTAATGTGTTTACAGAGGGATAGGTAATGTGTTTACAGAGGGATAGGTAATGTGTTTACAGAGGGATAGGTAATGTGTTTACAGAGGGATAGGTAATGTGTTTACAGAGGGATAGGTAATGTGTTTACAGAGGGATAGGTAATGTGTTTACAGAGGGATAGGTAATGTGTTTACAGAGGGATAGGTAATGTGTTTACAGAGGGATAGGTAATGTGTTTACAGAGGGATAGGTAATGTGTTTACAGAGGGATAGGTAATGTGTTTACAGAGGGATAGGTAATGTGTTTACAGAGGGATAGGTAATGTGTTTACAGAGGGATAGGTAATGTGTTTTAAGAGGGACAGGTAATGTGTTTACAGAGGGACAAGTAATGTGTTTAGGGATAGGTAATGTGTTTACAGAGGGATAGGTAATGTGTTTACAGAGGGAAAGGTAATGTGTTTACAGAGGGATAGGTAATGTGTTTACAGAGGGATAGGTAATAGGTTTACAGAGGACAAGTAATGTGTTTACAGAGGGATAGGTAATGTATTTACAGAGGGATAGGTAATGTGTTTACAGAGGGATAGGTAATGTGTTAACTGAGGGATAGGTAATGTGTTTACAGAGGGATAGGTAATGTGTTTACAGAGGGACAGGTAATGTGTTTTAAGAGGGACAGGTAATGTGTTTACAGAGGGATAGGTAATGTGTTTAGGGATAGGTAATGTGTTTACAGAGGGATAGGTAATGTGTTTACAGAGGGATAGGTAATGTGTTTACAGAGGGATAGGTAATGTGTTTACAGAGGGAAAGGTAATGTGTTTACAGAGGGACAGGTAATGTGTTTACAGAGGGACAGGTAATGTGTTTACAGAGGGAACGGTAATGTGTTTACAGAGGGATAGGTAATGTGTGTTTACAGAGGGACAAGTAATGTGTTTACAGAGGGATAGGTAATGTGTTTACATACAGAGGGATAGGTAATGTGTTTACAAAGGGATAGGTAATGTGTTTACAAAGGGACAAGTAATGTGTTTACAGAGGGATAGGTAATGTGTTTACAGAGGGATAGGTAATGTGTTTACCTGAAAATAAGTTTGCATTTAATGGTGATCTTTTTATTTATAACAACATTTTCATGGTCTCAAAGTTTAGTGGAATCCCATTAGTCTGTATAAACGTTGAACTAAATAATGTCACTAAAATGTGTTAAAAGGAGATCAAATGACTGGTCTAACTGTCAAATCCCTTCTGTTGTTAGGAAACTTGTCATGATTGTGTAGATTCTCTATTTAGTTATCAACACATTGCATATGGATTTATTGGTTGATTTTCTGTACACCCCAGATTACACATATACCCAAGGCAATCATGGCTGTCCTGGAGAAGGACCCTCTAGAGGAACAACAGAAACAGGCACAGAAGGAAAACATGGAGGCTGAGGCCAGGAGAATCGCTGAGGCCAAAAGTATCACAGGTCCGCCTGAGGTCTTGGTACAGGTCAGACAGGAGCCGATGGAAACGCAGGTTATACAGACAGTGGGTACAGTGTCACATGAGCAGCAGGCTGCAGAAAAGGCCAAACAGGAAGCTGAAAGAAGGAAGGCAGAGCAAGCTAAACAGGAGGCAGAGGAGAGAGAAAGGGAGGAACGGGCTAAGAAGGCTGCGAAGGAGAAAGCTGAGGCAGAGGAGAAGGCAAGAATTGAGGCAGAACAGAAGGCAGAGAGGCAACGGCTGGAAGCAGTGGTAAGTGGCTGTTACATTGTGGGAAGGAGTTTTCTGGTAGGGGTGATGTAGTTCTCTTACCTCATATGGTTTCCAATATCTTTAAACCTCTCATTTCCTATTTTGTTCAAAGTGAAATTTGAAATAATATTAACAAAAGGCTAGTCATTCTTTCTGTAAGAGGACTAAGTCTTCAAATGACATTTTTATGCAAGTTTTTGATATTTTGACGAGATGGGTTGCAAAATTATGAAAATTTGTCAAATATTTCTTTTTTATTTCGAAAATTGGGAAACTAAGTTTAGACGGAGAGACTAAGAGGTCAAGGGTACAGAGAGACAAGAGAGGGTGTGTGTGGTTGTGGGGCTGCCTCTGATAGGGAGTTGATCATTGTGACGAGGTCTAGGGCTAAGAGAGGGTAGATAGGGGTAATAAAAGTAGGTTAAAGGGTCAACTTCTGTAAAGAAGTTGGAGCTGCGGCATAGAGAAGGTGTTTGAATTGAAAACAAGGTGCACAGTGGTAAATGTGTGTGCACAGTGGTAAATGTGCAAGGCTTAAACTAAAATCAAAGGAACAAGATACTGTTTGATTGGGTACAAGATACTAATTCAATTAGGAACTGAATGAGAATTTAATTGAGCATCTGGTTAAAATATGACCAATGTAATAAATAGAGAGTAATTGCTTTAGAAAAAGATTGATGCCAAAATGACAGTACACTGAAGCACCGGTACATATAAGTAGGGGTACATATACTTTCTCTGGTCCTCGAGAAACTCCAAATGACGAGCAAGTAACTTAAGACTACAGAATAGATATCTTCAAAATCTGATACTGATTTCTGTTGTGACTTCCGTTAAACCAGAGAGCTGCGGAAGCCGAGAAGATGGTTGCCAGAGCCTTGGCTGAAGAAGAGATGATTGACGAGGACCCAGATTCGCCTGAAAACGCCCTGGCCATTGCGGAGGACGAACCCATGGATGTGTCTCAGACGTCGGAGTCGGCTGAGCAGGTTAGTAAACGATGGTATTAATGTGATCACATTCTAATACACACAGCTTATGCTTTATATCCATTAGCTTGGAAATTGTCTTTTTAACAACCCTATCAAAAATATTACAGGATTTGAAGTTAAGAATGTAACTTAAAAGTATTTCTTTAATTGCTCCTGAACTATCCTTCAAAACACATAAAGACACTTCACAGGAAAATTAAAATGTATGTACCCCTAAAAAAATCAGTTTCTGTATCCGCATTGTTAAGTCATGCAGATGTTTACAGTTGTTTTGCTATACATTTACAGCATAATGGATTATCATGAAAGTTAAGATTGTATATAAAATAACTTCCATAGACATAATGATATAACTACATAGAGTGTTGTTTCAGGTAATTTTACCCTTTTGAACACGTACTAGTATATGAACCCAAAGTACAGCCCTACAGCATGTATTTAACATATTCTCTACCTTATTTTGACCTCAGTAAGCTTATTTACATTTTTTGCACTCAATGTTTTGTTTTATAGTCGCAGGATACGGAGGAGGAGGAAAAAGCTGCTGAGGAAATAGAGGAAGGGGAGGCAGTGGATGAGGAGGAGGAGGAGGAAGAGGAGGTCAAGGTCACCAAGCCAAGAACTGCTCGCCGTGGAAGAGTAAAAGCATCATCCTCACGGTCGTCGGCGGCCAAGTCAGCCCCACCACCAACCAGGAAAAGTTCTAGGACAAAGAGATAAACAAGGAGAATGTTTTTGGTTAGGTTACATTGTGAAGTGAGTGAGAAAAGTACTCTGAAAGTGACCTTTAATATTAGTTCAAAGAAAGGAATGAAGCCCCATAAAATCTTCCTTCCGCACAGCATAGACTTCTAACATTGACTTTGGAAGGCAAGGAAATAGCTCATCTCCAAGAAAAAGTAGAATACTGACATTTTCTGAAAGACATGATTTTGAAAGTCCTAAAATATCCACGTGGAAATATTGGATGAAGGTGTTTTATGATAAACAGAGGATGAAAGTACAAAACCTTTCAAGGATATACAGTAACCGATGATTCCACATTTATCAAAGTGTTGTGTTATTGATATCATAATTCTGCCTAAATCTTGCATTGATTGAGATTCACCTGAACAGTTTTGTGTTTTTTTAGGTCACCTGAGACTTGTTTCAGTTCTCATTAATCATCTGCTCAGAAAATATAGAAGAGGTGTATGTTGCATCGTACGTGTCAAATTTAGTTTCAAATATTTTTCAGAATTTAATTATTGTTTTTGAAAATGAGTGTATTTTGTTTTACGTTTGAAGTAGATGAGATTATAGAAGATATTCCAGTATAGAGTGAATTTTAAGCTATGATTTGGATTGGGAACTTCCTTATCAAATCAATATTTTCCCAGTGTTCTTTGAAATGTCTCATTTTGTCCTCTTGAATATTCAGCGTAAAGTAAATTTAATCAGAGTACATGACATATTGTACAACAACAACAACAAAAACAACAACAAGAAAAAGAGAAAAAAATAGAACTCTAGCTGTAAACATTGGTACTCATAGGATTTGTTTTCAAGTTTCAGAGTTGATGCATCTTAAAGGGAAAACAGTTTAACAATGAAAAGAATTAATCAGTTTTAGTCAAGATAATGGCAGATGAGGGGTAGTATTCAAAATTGACTGAAAGAACCTATCATGAAATTTCTTACCTTGTCAGTATTGATATTGATATTGGTTTAGTGATTAACGTTATTTGAGGGTAACAAAACATATCCTTGTTAATTAACGGAGGTGTTGTCTGAAGTTAGCCAGTGAAATATTCAAGTTGTGCTGCAAGTCATAAATGCATTTCTAGCGATTAACCCAGTGTGTTTATAATGTACATGGATTATGGCTTCAAATGTAGCCATGACCCTCAGGTTTTAACATACAAATCAAGGTGGAGTTACTCTCAAGTGTGATCTTTATATCATTATAGTCGAATCACCATTTTCATCATAAACTTCATTGCTTGGTCTGTGTACATGTTTCATGAGAGGAGATATTTTTATGTGCTGTTGATCCGAAACATTGATGATCTGTTTTGTATACTTGTAAAGTGCTGTTGGCATGTATGTGAGAAGATCACATCGAGATGTTGTCAATAAACGTTTCCATTGTAAACTCTTGTATTTTTCTGGTCTTTGTTGTGTAACATGAAATATTTAGCGGTTCATTCTTAACAATGAAACCATTTCACGGAAACAAACTTTCAAGGTTTGTTAGAATAGCACACAATTTTAGATGATTGAATTCGTTTTTTCTTTCAGTATAAATTAGGGTCTGGTTTTGATTCTATGACTACAATAACAAACAAACAACAGTTATATGTAAGTCAATGAGAAATTTTATTTAACATATCATGTATAAAAATAGGAGTATTTTAGCAAATTACATAAAAGTAAAACTTCAAAAATGCATCTGTGCACCAGAATTGTACAGATAATTTTAAACGACAACATTTTAATTGTTTGTTACTAGATAATCTTACTGGTAATAAATTGTCTTGTATATAATATAATTATTGTACAGGAATGATTAATATGCTATACATGTATTACACAGAGGTATTACACAGACAATCATCTGTGTTTTTCCAAATCATCTGGTTGATAATAAAAAATATTTATTTGTAATATCTACTTATAGATATATCAAAGACTCTGTTTATCGAATAGTCATTTATTGGTCCCATGAAAATGTATTCATCTACAAATTTATCCCAAGTCAGCACTCCTATCCCTAACATAAACTCCCTGCCCTGTTTCTGGTCCGAGCCTCCCAACACTTCACCATAATTAACTGACTTACTCGTACTTTCTTTGGCTGCTTTTTAGATTTTCAGAAGGCTCTTTACATCAGTCAAATTTTCCAAAATTATTTAACCATCGGCTATTATTCGGTAAAATACGGTATGTACCAGTATTCAAACACTAGCGCCCCTTTCGCTTATCCAGTTTGATCAGTTTGTCTGTCTTTCAATGTAACCTTTTCGGGTATAAATCCTGGCGGATCTGCAAATGTTTGTGCAGATCTTACAAGACTTTGTCAAGGCTTGCCTGAAAACAGCATTAGATTACTAGGTCTGATCTTATTTCATAAACGAACAACTCGGGTCCAACTGGTTCAATCATTTGGATCCCGGTAAACGAATGCAGCCCAATATTGTTCTCAGAAAGGTTTTCCCTGGCTCCCAACTACATTGACATAAAGAGGTTTGTGAAGAGTAAATCTGGTATGAGGTATTCATGTAAAGGTTTCTTGATTGATGGTTTACGTACATGGACAGGTAACAAAATATATAGAGAAAATTTAATGTCCTTTATTGATCAATTCAACATGGATCATTAACCCTTTCACCCCTATGTAACTAATTTAGTAAACTCTACCATGCATTGATCTGGATAAGTCCATTATGGTCTACAGTGGTGAAAAACACTGCCAACAGTTTTACCAAAGTTCCTTAACTTATTAAAGCAAATTCGCTAACCTTAAGTGTTTTCATAGGAAATCATTGCTAATACCCATTTTCCTTGGCTCATACTCAATAACTTTCCTTTGAATGCAATGTCATAAAAGATTCAATCTGATTAAAACCATATTTGGAAATCTTCTACAATACTCTGTGTATTATCGTAGTAGATTATACTTCCTGATTTTACAAATAATCAGACTGTAAAAAGTTGTCTACTGAAATCGAAACAGAGCTCAAAACTAACAGGAAACAACGAAAATATGCCACTTGATAGAAAGTTTTAAAAATAATTTTACATTCATGCACAAATTAAACTCATCAAAAGCTTACAGAATTACCCAGCTTGTTTGACAGATGTCATACTGGTTGGTGAAAGCACCAAATGTACAACTTGAGCAAATAAGGAAATGGAAGTAGAATATATAAATTGCATCACTTTAATACCTGGAAGGCTCATAAGGAAACCATTTTTTAATTAAAAAAACCTATTTCAAGGTCCTGATTCTACATAAAGATTTTATTATTGTGTAATTTTACATCATAAATGGTTAATATTCAGGCAAACTTCCTGTTTATTAATATTAAATTACAATGCAATTTCGACTGTATTGACTGAAAATTAATCGTTTTTGAATGCAGCCCTGGTTTATCTTCATCGCTAGCCAAGGGCTACGATACGGTATACCTACTCTTCTGAGAGATGACGACGTGGTTTATCAACAGAAACAAATAGCGACACACTGTAGTACATATCAGCACAATAACACAAACAATGAGCTTAGTTATTAAATATATCACAGATTTGCATAACTGATCATATGTTAATACATCTAGTTTACAATAAGTCTAGAGCATTCTCACTGAAATCTGGCAGTCACCTCCAGTTTCTTTTTTTTTCATGCTGTCTGTAATATCTGATTATCTAGGAAAACACATTGAAATTTTAAAAATTTCTTGGGGGGGGGGGGGGGAAACAACATGTCATTACCTGGTAAGTATCAACGAAAAATTGATCTGGTTTACTGATAATAATAATAATCTCAATTCATTATAGACAATTACACAATTATATTCAATCATTACAAACAAGTATCCATCAATCTCTAATCATTTAGAGCAGTTAAAAGAGCGCTCTGTCTAAACCAGACACACCAGGGACCACATAATTGGCTTGTTTGCTCGTTTGCAGAAAGTTCCATACTTCAGAGAGTCTCCTTGTTACACTGTGTCATTGTCAGAACCAATTTTTTTGAAAGGTGTAAGAAAGAAAAAATCAGATGGGTTAGAGATAGGTTTAGACAGAGTGTACTGTGTATGAATCTTGTATCATTATAAGCAATTTTATAATGAATGATGTTTTTAAATTTTCATCAAAATTGTACAGGTATCACTTTTGATATAGATAAGGAAAACTACCCATTTTCTTCGGCTCATACTCAATAACTTTCCTTTGAATGCAATGTCATAAAAGATTCAATCTAATTAAAACCAGATTTTAAATTTTCTATGATACTGTGTATTATCAAAGAAGATTATACTTGCTGATTTTACAAATAATCAGACTGTAAAAAGTTGTCAACTGAAATCGAAACAGAGCTCAAAACTTAAACAGGAAACAACGAAAATATGCCACTTGATAGAAAGTTTTAAAAATAATTTTACATTTATGCACAAATTAAACTCATCATAAGCTTATAGAATTAATCTGGCTTGTTTGACAGATGTCATACTGGTTGGTGAAAGCACCAAATGTACAACTTGAGCAAATAAGGAAATGGAAGTAGAATATATAAATTGCATCACTTTAATACCTGGAAGGCTCGTAAGGAAACATTCATCAAAATTGTACAGGTATCACTTTTGATATAGATGCCGGAGAGATTGGAATTTTAATTAAACTATTCCTTTCATGTCATATGAAAAACAAAATATAACACATTTATCTATCACTTGTTTTGACTAAAGCAAACAGGTAGCAAACTCATTAAAAATCACCATAAGAGCAGCTTGCCAAAAGACTAGTGGCAGACTGTTATTCATACTGAAAACACTTTTGCTCAAAAGGACAATTACTGGTATTGATGTAATTCATATTTTCATTTTTTTTCAATTGAAATGAGATGAAGACCAATGTAAAATGTAAGATTATTATTACATGTAACAGTTTTCTTAAAAATAAGTACTCAAATAATTTAGCATTAAAAGCAAGGTTATTACATACAGTAAACATAATTATATTAGTACACTCAAATTTTAGCTGAGTGAAGGGGTTAGAACATATAAGTGCATTCTTAAATTAGTGGAATCACTACCTAAATTATCAAATTAGTGAAACTTTCATTCTCTGCAATAGACTATAACATTTACGGTTTGTAAAGCTTCTGCATGCATGGGAACAAACCCTATAAAACGACGAGCAAGATAAATCAATTGATTACCTCAGAACATACTATACTTATCATGTAAGTTAATTGTTGCCATTTACTGTTTCGTAAAATATTGAACTTTATGGTTTGGATAGCCCATAGGTGTGTGTCAACCTCTGAAACCTCCAATGAGGGAGATCTCCCTCATTCCACATTTCAAATGAGGGAGAAAGTGTGTGAAAGGCCACTGAAACTGCTTTTCTCAAGTTATCGAAACCTTTTTATGTATCAAAATAACTCAAAAAAGTATTTATTTGATTCAGACACACCTGTTATGATCATTACACCCACCATGCAGTAACTAGGAGATCATTTGACCACAGGATGTAGATTTTGAGTTTGTGTGAGTTTGTACTTGAATAACGGAGTTTCCAGGGAGATTGGTAATTTTTGGTCAAAATAGGGAGGTTTCCACTTTGACATCATCTAACTTGCTAAAATTAAAATAGCGCTAAAATTGGTACGCTCACATAAGCATGTTTACAGGATATATTAACACAAAGTATAAATGTTATGGAAGGGAAAATATTGGAAGAATTTATTGCACAATTCACTCTAAAATGAATATTGCACACAGAGGCAGGAACTTGTCACTAAGTTTGTATTTTCAATAAGTAAACATTTCAGTATGGATGTTAATGTTCAAGAAGAGATATCAATCAACAAAAAACACATTTATCGATTATCTCACAATCAATCCACAAAAAACACATTCATCAATTATCTCACAATCAATCAACAAAAAACACATTTATCAATTATCTCACAATCAATCAACAAAAAACACATTCATCAATTATCTCACAATCAATCAACAAAAAACACATTTATCAATTATCTCACAATCAATCAACAAAAAACACATTCATCAATTATCTCACAATCAATCAACAAAAAACACATTTATCAATTATCTCACAATCAATCAACAAAAGTCACATTTATCAATTATCTCACAATTACTTTTAACACCTAATGTTTTCAGGATAAACCCCTTTCATATCTGGTAGATATACAACAATTAGTCTACTGCAGAAAATTGGGGGAATTCCTAGGACAGTTGTGTCGTACGAAATTCAGGTGTTTTACAACGAAAAAAAAGCTGTTGTAGAGCTTTAAGTCATGATATGCCCTACAACGGTGTCTGTTATGATCCAAACTACACATTTTGTATTGTACGACAGTTGTCTCCCTGATGTAGGTTGAGTGTACAAAGGGTGTGTAGCAATTGTCAGATTGTTTTACGACAACGACCATCACAAGACTGTTGTATGAAAATTGGTCTTGTAATATTCATAGGGTTGGGGTGATGGGAAGGGGGGTTCATACAACAGTCATAGGAACATGGCATGATTCGACTTGGACATATTTTCCCACGACAGCCATACAACACATTATCTAATGTGAACACTACTACACAGCTTTCTTGCATACTAGACCGAGATATCTGCATTTCCGGCGGTGCTGGAAAATTCTATCCGACCACCGGGTCTAAATCGCTTACATGCGCAGACTGGCGGGGGGAATAATAGTGAACTTTCGAAGTCACGCTATTGTTCATGACGTCATTTTATGACGTTTTTCGGTCAGTCAGGGTCATTGACGTCACTAACAATTGACATCAGGGCTTTATATGCAATTGAGAAATGTGCAGACATTTTACAACTTTACTAGAAGAGCAGCTGTTTTTACCCGTTTTAGGTAATAAGCAAGAAATAGAATCCATCCCTGATGTGAGGTTAGGATAAGGTTATTCAAACCCTCGGGATAAAATATTGCTCAGGTTTGAATAACCTTATCCATACCTCACATTAGGGATAGATTCTATTATTCTAATCCATCCCATCAGTACCTTCTGATATATAGCCCTGCTAAAATTTTATGATGAAACAAATTGTGAAAGTAATTTGGAACAGTTCTACTTCCATTTTGTTTTACCAAACAATTTAGCTACCAGATAAAACATAATCAATAGAATGTGTCTTCAATGATGTAATGAATGTTCAGCCTCCTGCACACATACACACATACACACTTACATTACACACATGGAGGCATTTCCTCAAATAAACCCTATTTTAAAACTAAACTAATGAATGTTTCAATTAATGGCACTCAAAATTGAAGGGAGATCATATTGTTGCTCTTGTCATTTCTTACCTTGTTTAGCAGAATTTTTCTTTACCTGTTTTCTAACTGTTCGTTTTTCAATCTCTCTTTGAATACAAAAAATCATTTATGCTTGAGAAACATATTTTTTTACATTTATACCCTGGGAGTGACGAACACAGTTTCAAATATCTTGCAAATTTGTGTTCAGTTAAAATCAAATCAGGAGGATGTAGCAGTCATTCCTTTCACAGTTAACCTCTTTATAATGCCAACCTCTTTCTAATGCCAAAATTCCACTGTTTAAAGAGTGGCAGTATAAGGGCATACATATCATATTTCATACAACTAATTAATTTCTGATATGTGGATATTCAAAAGTGAAATACAAATCATTTTAAAAATCAAACAACATTTATCAATACAATGTAGTAAAAACAAACCTCATTTCTATAATTTTTCATACTGTTCCTTCATAGAATTATGACTAAGTTCCACATCAAACATGACTGACCCTGTATCGTCGTCCACAGAAAGTTCGGAGTAGGACATTTTCTGAGGGTTGCTGTAGGAGAACTCCTGGTGACTTGGATGCTGTGATCCGGTTGTAAAAGAATGATTGACGGCTTTGTAGCTGAAGTGACCAGACAACAGACTTAGGAGAAAAAGTATGGCCGTCACTAACCAGCTGAACACCTACAGCAAATAATGATACAGAATCGTTTCCATTAAGGATTTAACAAGGAAATAACAATGAAATAACATCTGTTGGCAATTTTGCTGAAATGTAAATTCATAGATAGGCACATGAATTACAATTTGCGCGCGTTTCGGAGAATAGCACGTAATATTTGTCCTATAGGTACGTGAAGATCGTATTAGGGGGAGTAATTCGTGCGATTTGGTATTGACCAATGAGGTTGGAGCATGTGTGTGGGGTAGGACACGGGTGGTTGTTATTGTGTCATATTCTAGCTTCGGATGTAGATGGAAAGTACAAGTTTTAAATCTAAATTGAATTTAAATACATTTCATATGGAATGTTATGTACATGAATACATTGAGAATATATTGGAATCGTATTTATGTTTAATGTATAGAAACCCCAGCAGAACAAAAAACAAAAACCTGAAGCATAGACGGGCTGGTTCACCTCCTGCTTCCTAAAAGGAGTTCAGGTTGGGTGGCACGCTTGGTTTTTGTAGGTAAATACGATTCTCAATGAGAGGGAGAGATTGTGGATTGTGGAGTGAATTTGTCAAAATTGTATGGAAACGTCTTTATCGCATCAAATGCAATTATAATAAATGCCTGTTCTGTTGTTCCATCGGTATCAGATGGAGTATATTGAGGACTGATATCTATAAATTGGTAGCATGTATCTGTAGGTCAAGTCTACACCCTCTATCTATACTCCACAACCCTCTACCTATACTCCACAACCCTCTACCTATACACCACAACCGTCTACCTATACTCCACAACCCTCTATCTATACTCCACAACCTTCTACCTATACTTAACAACCCTCTACCTATCCTCCACAACCCTCTACCTATACACCACAACCGTCTACCTATCCTCCACAACCCTCTATCTATACTCCACAACCTTCTACCTATACTTAACAACCCTCTACCTATCCTCCACAACCCTCTACCTATACACCACAACCCTCTACCTATACTCCACAACCGTCTACCTATACTCCACAACCTTCTATCTATACTCCACAACCCTCTACCTATCCTCCACAACCCTCTACCTATACACCACAACCCTCTACCTATACTCCACAACCCTCTACCTATTACTCCACAACCCTCTATCTATACTCCACACCCGTCTACCTATACTCCACAACCCTCTATCTATACTACACAACCATCTACCTATACTCCACAACCCTCTTATCTATAATCCACAACCCTCTATCTATACTCTACAACCCTCTTTCTATACTCCACAACCGTCTATCTATACCCCTCAACCCTCTACCTATATTCAACCCTCTATCTATACTCCACAACCCTCTCCCTATCCTCCACAACCCTCTACCTATACACCACAACCGTCTATCTATACTCCACAACCCTCTCCCTATCCTCCACAACCCTCTACCTATACACCACAACCGTCTACCTATCCTCCACAACCCTCTATCTATACTCCACAACGTCAATCTATACTCCTCAACCCTCTACCTATATTCAACCCTTCTATACTCCACAACCGTCTATCTATACTCCTCAACCCTCTTCCTATATTCAACCCTCTATCTATACTCCACAACCCTCTATCTATACTACACAACCATCTACCTATACTCCACAACCCTCTTATCTATACTACACAACCCTCTATCTATACTCCACAACCCTTTACCTATACTCCACAACCCTCTACCTATACTCCACATCCCTCTACCTATACTCCACAACCGTCTACCTATACTCCACAACCTTCTATCTATACTCCACAACCCTCTACCTATACTCCACAACCCTCTTATCTATACTCTACAACCCTCTATCTATACTCTACAACCCTCTATCTATACTCTACAACCCTCTTTCTATACTCCACAACCGTCTATCTATACTCCTCAACCCTCTACCTATATTCAACCCTCTATCTATACTCCACAACCCTCTACCTATACTCCACAACCGTCTATCTATACTCCACAACCCTTTATCTATACTCCACAACCGTCTATCTATACTCCACAACCCTCTACCTATACTCCACAACCCTCTATCTATACTCCACAACCGTCTATCTATACTCCACAACCCTCTACCTATACTCCACAACCCTCTATCTATACTCCACAACCCTCTACCTATACTCCACAACCCTCTACCTATACTCCACAACCCTCTTATCTATACTCTACAACCCTCTATCTATACTCTACAACCCTCTATCTATACTCCACAACCCTCTATCTATACTCCACAACCGTCTATCTATACTCCTCAACCCTCTACCTATATTCAACCCTCTACCTATACTCCACAACTGTCTACCTATACTCCACAACCCTCTACCTATATTCAATAACCCTCTACCTATACTCCACAACCCTCTACCTATACTCCACAACCCTCTTATCTATACTCCACAACCCTCTATGTATACTCTACAACCCTCTATCTATACTCCACAACCCTCTATCTATACTCCACAACGTCAATCTATACTCCTCAACCCTCTACCTATATTCAACCCTCTACCTATACTCCACAACTGTCTACCTATACTCCACAACCCTCTACCTATACTCAATAACCCTCTACCTATACTCCACAACCCTCTACCTATACTCCACAATCCTCTTATCCATACTCCACAACCCTCTATGTATACTCTACAACCCTCTATCTATACTCCACAACCCTCTATCTACACCCCACAACCCTCTATCTATACTCCACAACCCTCTATCTATAGTCCACAACGTCAATCTATACTCCTCAACCCTCTACCTACATTCAACCCTCTACCTATACTCCACAACTGTCTACCTATACTCCACAACCCTCTACCTATACTCAATAACCCTCTCCCTATACTCCACAACCCTCTACCTATACTCCACAACCGTCTATCTATACTCCACAACCCTCTATCTATACTCCACAACCCTCTATCTACACTCCACAACCCTCTATCTACACTCCACAACCCTCTTATCTACACTCCACAACCCTCTATCTATACTCCACAATCCTCTACCTATACTCCACAACCCTCTATCTATACTCCACAATAACATCAAACAGGACTTAAAGTATTATCTGTAGACCATGATAAAAAATCCAATTGATATTAAAGTAAGCTTCAATGCCTAAATATTTGCAAATGACCTCTGACCTGTTTTAATACACATATAACAGTGTTTGCTCAGTATCCTCAAGGATAGAGGATTCAAAGCTTTATAAAAATAGACTCACTTCATATCCAATGATTCTTATTTTGAAGGCCCAGTTGTCAGACGACTCAATTAGACCTTGTAATATATACCTTTAACATTGTACCATCAGACAACATGGCCTAGCCGCCTTTGGACAATAGTCTGAGAAGATTTTTTTATTTTTAATATACATGTAATAAACTAGAATTCTTTATAACAAAATCAGCCTGATTCTTGATACATTTGTATTTTAGGTTATACATGAATACTTATTCAGAATTAATTGTTTGAAACTCACCACAGCTACTGTTAGGAAAGTATGAAATTTATGTTTCCTATCAAATATATCCCAATTCCATGTCTGTGCCTCGGAGCAATTGTACCTGAAAAAATAAGAATGGGACTATTTACATATAGGCGTGCATATGCTTTAGAATATTTTTTGTAGAAGTGCACATTCACGTTCAACCATCCCTTTTATAGATTGTTGATCTTTATAAATTCCCTGGAAAGCATTCCTTGGCACCACTCCACTTTCGGTTAAATTGCAAAATGTTTGCACAAATGAGGCAGGCAATGGGTTCTGATCCCAAGTCGGGACATACCAAAGTCCTTAAAATCTTGTAGCTGTTACTCCCTGCTAAACTATTGGCCCTAAGGGTAAGTACAATGACTGGCTTTAACCTGTTATCAGTACAAATCAGTAAAAATTAAACCAGGTGGAACACTGTACTGGGTGCCTTCAGCATGAAATTTCAGTGAGTTAGCACTCTAAAGTCGGCATTAAACCCACTGTATCACAGGGGGGCAAATACGCCAACATACCTTCCTCCCGCACACATTACAAACATTAAATGAGGTAGCACTCTAAAGTCAATAAGATCAACTATATCACAGGGGGGCAAATACACCAACATACCTTCTCCCACACACATTACACACACAGCTCACGACACATCTGTTAATGACCCCAGCTGTCAATATGCCATTCAATAAATCATGAACTTTCTGGGTTAACACATTGAGGATTACCATTACTTGATTCCTTTGTTAAAAATGTGTTTGTTTCTGTGACAATTTGCTGTAATGTAGCATATCACAGTACAATTTGATCCATGTACAATATTCTTAAAGCTTTAAGGTGCATGATAGGTTTATTTTATTACATATACTATATAGACACATGTATATTCATATGGCCGTGGATGAAATCCGAAACATATCAGCAAGATTTATCACACATTTATTTGTGATAAACTTGGACTTTAGATTTCCCTTCTCTACCTACCCGCTAAGTACACCATACAAACATCATAAATTGGCTGTTATCAGCATGAAAAGTATGAAAACAAGTACTCCTGGATACACAGACACATTGACAGTGAATCTGACACACTCCTGGATACACGGACACATTGACAGTGACATTTGACACACTCCTGGATACATTGACAGTGACAGTGACATCTGACACACTCCTGCATACACGGACAGATTGACAGTGACATCTGACACACTCCTGGATACACAGACACATTGACAGTGACATCTGACACACTCCTGGATCCACGGACAGATTGACAGTGACATCTGACACACTCCTGGATATACTGACACACTCCTTGATACATGGACACATTGACAGTGACATTTGACACACTCCTGGATACACGGACAGATTGACAGTGACATCTGACACGCTCCTGGATACACAGACACATTGACAGTGACATCTGACACACTCCTGGATACACAGACACATTGACAGTGACATTTAACACACTCTTGGATACACAGACACATTGACAGTGACATCTGACACACTCCTGGATACACGGACAGATTGACAGTGACATCTGACACACTCCTGGATACACGGACACATTGACAGTGACATCTGACACACTCCTGGATACACGGACACATTGACAGTGACATCTGACACACTCCTGGATACACGGACACATTGACAGTGACATCTGACACACTCCTGGATACACGGACACATTGACAGTGACATCTGACACACTCCTGGATACACGGACACATTGACAGTGACATCTGACACACTCCTGGATACACGGACACATTGACAGTGACATCTGACACACTCCTGGATACACGGACACATTGACAGTGACATCTGACACACTCCTGGATACACGGACACATTGACAGTGACATCTGACACACTCCTGGATACACCGACACATTGACAGTGACATCTGACACACTCCTGGATACATGGACAGATTGACAGTGACATATGACACACTCCTGGATATACCGACACATTGACAGTGACATCTGACATACTCCTGGATACATGGACACATTGACATCTGACACACTCCTGTACACAGACAAATTGACAGTGACATCTGACACACTCCTGGATATACTGACACATTGACAGTGACATCTGACACACTCCTGGGTACACAGACACATTGACAGCGACATCTGACACACTCCTGGATACGAAGACACATTGACAGTGACATCTGCCACACTCCTGGATATACTGACACATTGACAGTGACATCTGACACACTCCTGTATACATGGACACATTGACAGTGACATATGACACACTCCTGGATACACCGACACATTGACAGTGACATCTGCCACACTCCTGGATACATGGACACAGTGACATATGACACACTCCTGGGTACACAGACACATTGACAGTGACATCTGACACACTCCTGGATACAAAGACACATTGACAGTGACATCTAACACACTCCTGGATACACTGACACATTGACAGTGACATTTGACACACAGTGACATCTGACACACTCCTGGATACATGGACACATTGACAGTGACATCTGACACACTCCTGGATACACAGACAGATTGACAGTGACATCTGACACACTCCTGGATATACTGACACATTGACATCTGACAAACTCCTGGATATACAGACACTTTGACAGTGACATCTGACACACTCCTGGATACACGGACACATTGACAGTGACATCTGACACACTCCTGGATACACGGACACATTGACAGTGACATCTGACACACTCCTGGATACACGGACACATTGACAGTGACATCTGACACACTCCTGGATACACGGACACATTGACAGTGACATCTGACACACTCCTGGATACACGGACACATTGACAGTGACATCTGACACACTCCTGGATACACGGACACATTGACAGTGACATCTGACACACTCCTGGATACACGGACACATTGACAGTGACATCTGACACACTCCTGGATACACGGACACATTGACAGTGACATCTGACACACTCCTGGATACACGGACACATTGACAGTGACATCTGACACACTCCTGGATACACAGACACATTGACAGTGACATCTGACACACTCCTGGATACACGGACACATTGACAGTGACATCTGACACACTCCTGGATACACGGACACATTGACAGTGACATCTGACACACTCCTGGATACACGGACACATTGACAGTGACATCTGACACACTCCTGGATACACGGACACATTGACAGTGACATCTGACACACTCCTGGATACACGGACACATTGACAGTGACATCTGACACACTCCTGGATACACGGACACATTGACAGTGACATCTGACACACTCCTGGATACACGGACACATTGACAGTGACATCTGACACACTCCTGGATACACGGACACATTGACAGTGACATCTGACACACTCCTGGATACACGGACACATTGACAGTGACATCTGACACACTCCTGGATACACGGACACATTGACAGTGACATCTGACACACTCCTGGATACACGGACACATTGACAGTGACATCTGACACACTCCTGGATACACGGACACATTGACAGTGACATCTGACACACTCCTGGATACACAGACAGATTGACAGTGACATCTGACACACTCCTGGATATACTGACACATTGACATCTGACAAACTCCTGGATATACAGACACTTTGACAGTGACATCTGACACACTCCTGGATACACGGACACTTTGACAGTGACATCTGACACACTCCTGGATACACGGACACATTGACAGTGACATCTGACACACTCCTGGATACACGGACACATTGACAGTGACATCTGACACACTCCTGGATACACTGACAGATTGACAGTGACATCTGACACACTCCTGGATACACCGACACATTGACAGTGACATCTGACACACTCCTGGATACATGGACAGATTGACAGTGACATATGACACACTCCTGGATATACTGACACATTGACAGTGACATCTGACATACTCCTGGATACATGGACACATTGACATCTGACACACTCCTGGATACACAGACAAATTGACAGTGACATCTGACACACTCCTGGATATACTGACACATTGACAGTGACATCTGACACACTCCTGGGTACACAGACACATTGACAGCGACATCTGACACACTCCTGGATACGAAGACACATTGACAGTGACATCTGCCACACTCCTGGATATACTGACACATTGACAGTGACATCTGACACACTCCTGTATACATGGACACATTGACAGTGACATATGACACACTCCTGGATACACCGACACATTGACAGTGACATCTGCCACACTCCTGGATACACGGACACATTGACATCTGACACACTCCTGGGTACACAGACACATTGACAGTGACATCTGACACACTCCTGGATACACAGACACATTGACAGTGACATCTGCCACACTCCTGGATACACGGACACATTGACATCTGACATATGACACACTCCTGGATACACCGACACATTGACAGTGACATCTGCCACACTCCTGGATACACAGACACAGTGACATATGACACACACCTGGGTACACAGACACATTGACAGTGACATCTGCCACACTCCTGGATACACAGACACATTGACAGTGACATATGACACACTCCTGGATACACCGACACATTGACAGTGACATCTGCCACACTCCTGGATACAC